ATAAACTGTGGGCAATGACATGAGACAAAGTATATGTGAACTGCTGTATGGAAAATGAATTTGCTCTGTAAATCTTCACCTAAATCACAATTTAAAAAAAAAAAAAAAAAAACTAACATATACCTAAGTTTGAAAGACATTTGTCTAAATATCAAATCTATATCATCAGACTATAATGTAGTTGGCAACAGTCAGAAAAAAATACTACCTACTAAGTGTGAATAATTACTATAAAGAGATTTGAGTAGGAGTTTAGAGGGAACTCTATGGCATAGTGCCTAAGGCATTTGACTGCTAATCAGAAGGCTGGAGCTTCAAACCCACTAGCCAATCCTCTGAAGGAAAACTGGGCAGTCTACTTCTGTGGGGATACTATCTTGGAAACGCAAGGAGATGTCAATATGGGTCAGAATTTAGAAAGGATATTTGAAGTTTTACGAACATAAATATTCTGTTAACATTTGATAAAAATGGTATTTTAGTTGCAAAAACTTTTGGTGATAAATTCTGTGTGTAGTAACTAAAGGAATTTGTTTTCTTGTTGATATTTATAAAATCATGTAATATTTTTCCTTTGAGGTCCTACTAGTAGAGATAGGAGTTCCCCTCCCCCAGGATACATTCCAGACGAATTACATCAGGTTGCCAGGAATGGGTCATTCACTAGTATCAACAGTGAAGGAGAGTTCATTCCAGAGAGTATGGACCAAGTAAGTAGAAGTTTGATACTTCTTTTATTTTACTGAAATGGATATAGTTAGGGTAACGGGGTGGGGTGGGGGTGGATGGGGGTGGAATTTTTCATTGTGAAGCAGGGTTCTTCAAACCTGCTTCTTCTTTAGTGAACAAAAAAGCAAAAAGTATAGGAAAATGGCTGTGTGCATTGATGTATAAAGAATACTGGAATAAGGCTAACTACTTTTAATGCTCATCCATAAATCAGTGAATGAATGCATTTGTTTGTAATCTTGGGGTTAATATTTAGATTTTTTTTTATTAACATTTGAGAGATAAATAAAACTGTAAATACTTATCTTTGTGAAACTGAGACTTGTGAACTTTCTAAAACATTTAAAAAATCGTTCTGTAGTATTGAAATGTTTTCATGCAGTTGCTGTTATTTTCTTAACATTACAGTATTGTAGAATAATTTATATTTTATAATGTAACATCACTATGTCATTAGTCTTAGTTTGGTTGGGGCTCTTCGTTTCAGTAAGCAAAACTGGGATATTTTAGCTTTTAATTATTTAACTAATAGTGTATGAAGATAGTATTTTTCTCTTGGGAAATTTTGAAGTGGTGGCTTTTCTACATGGGACAACTACATTTAAAACATTTGAAAACTAGTAATTCTGGGGAGTGATTTCTAATGGGTATGACATTTCTTTTTGAGGTGATGAAAGTGATAATAAATTACGGTAAAGATTACACAATGCTGTGTATATAATAAAAACCATTGGATTGTACAGTTTAAATGGCTGAATTTTATGGTATGTGAATTATATATTCTCAGTAAAGCTGTTTAAAAAAAAAAAAGTAACTTTAGGTTCTGTGTCATTCCATCATGGTAGTACTCTTGTTTATTTTTCTAGATGCTGGATCCATTATCTTTAAGCAGCCCTGATAATTCTGGCTCAGGAAGCTGTCCGTCACTTGATAGTCCTTTGGATGGGTAATGTGGATTGTGGTTTTTGATTCTGAATGTATGTGGGTAAATAGTTAACCTGCTGAATTATCAAGAACTCTTCTATATTCAGAGGAAAATAATTGATACTTCTTTCTTTCTTTCTTTCTTTCTTTTTTTTTTTACTGATGTTCAATTTCTTTCTTTTTTTTAATTTTGATTTGGGTGAAGATTTACACAGCAAATTCACTTTCCATGCAGCAGTTCACATATACTTTGTCTCATGTCATGGACCACAGTTTACCACAATGCAACAGCTCCCCTCCCACTTCCTTCCCATAGTTACCTCTTCCCAGTGTCCATCCCTCCATACTCTCCTGACCCCTTAGCTGTCTCCCTGTGCATAAGCAGCCCTCCTTCTCCCATGATTGTTCTCTCCAGGGC